AAATCATGTAAACATATTATGTAAATAACCCAATTTGTGTTCTGTGAAACTGAAAAGGATATTACATTGTTTTTGTTACTTTCGTTGCAGTTATATGTCTTAAATGTAATTTAGGTTAACTTCCTGTTTTATTTAGATGCTTTTATTTTGAAGGCGAGTTTAGGCTGTTGACAGGAAGCTGTTGTTGCTATGGAAACAACATGACGGAGATAAGTAATATCTTCTAATCTACATATAAAGACGGAGAAAGTAAAGAATAAAGTGTATGTTTAAATGTTAGCACCCCCCGAAGAGGCACAAGCTCTTACGTTGAGTCTGGATACATTCTAAATCATCAGTAAAGTCTACGACCATATTTTCGTGTGTGGTTCGGGTGCCATCGTGTGGCCTTCTGTAGGCATCGTACTTGCTTCGGCTGTTGCTTAGTTGTTGACCAACTTCGGGGCCATCTTCGTGCGAAATTCACAATTCCATATTCGTGTGTCCACCTGGTGTCAATTTTGGACAGTGTGACAGGGGCTTACCCAAATATCTCAGAGAGGGGCGTGGGGAGTGGCTCCTTATTTTCATCTAAAGTCAAATACAGAGAATCAGCACTTTTGAAACAGAGTGGTTTATGGCACGCTACAATGCACGATCTGTTTGGTGTTTGGAGCCAAACACTTCAGAGACATGTTTGTATATACCTGAGACCTATACTACATTGATGAAAAACAGTATAATAGGGGACCTTTAAACTGCATCTCATGGTCTTCATCAGTACATGGAGTTTGGTCAGCTAGCATAGCACCTTTACTCACTTCATTGCCATGCGTTGGCTAAAAAATGCAGGAAGGATACATGGAGCAAAATATATCCAGTACCTCATCTCTATATGTAAATTATTTGTCACACTAAATAGGACAATTTAGTTAAAAGAGGCCGAGATAGGACAAAAAACTGTATGTTTGCAAAGAGTTCATATAAAGCTCAGGCACAACAACAAGTGAAGCAGAGCACAAAATGGACTCAAGAATGCCATGCCAGTATGTCCATCTCTTTCTCATGCAGTATGTGAAAATACAATAACTGATGTACTTTTCCCTACAGGGTGACTACCCATGGATGAGTTACGTCAGCATGTCGGCTATTTTCCTCTTCGTGAGTTTCTTTGAAATTGGTCCTGGTCCGATTCCATGGTTCATAGTTGCTGAACTGTTCAGTCAGGGACCCCGACCTGCAGCCATCGCTCTGGCTGGCTGCTGCAACTGGACCAGCAACTTCATCATAGGCATGACCTTTCCATATATACAGGTTGGCAGAAAGGAAAACACATTATGTACTATAAACTCATAAAATCAGACATAGTCTTACACCTGTCTTTTTCGTTTCTATTTTCAGACTTGGTTGGATTCGTATGTGTTCATCCTGTTTGCTGCGCTGCTTTTCGGCTTCACAGTGTTTATTTATCTCCGGGTCCCCGAGACCAAGGGCAAAAGTTTTGAAGAGATTGCTGCTGTCTTCCAGAAGGGCCGGAAAAAATTGGAGCAGGGCACCAAAGACGCTACTGAACTACAGGAGCTCAAAACATCCACAGATGCTTGAGACAACAGCTGTGTATTATTTAGGTATTTATGTGTGTGCAAAAGTGTGTCTATCTGTCAGTATTTCAAATGTCAAGTGTTTATCATTGAAGTATTTTAACAGTTGGGTTATTAAGGAGTTAATCACAGAATTACACTTTCTTCTAATATAAATATGAGTGTTACAAAAACCATCAGGGACTTACAATATCACATGTATGGCATATGAAGTGGTGTTTACATGTAATCATAGTATAGACTTGGAGTACAATGCTATTGTGAAAGTGAAAAGGGACACTTGTATTGTTGAACCCACAGTGATATTGAGACTGACTCTGTGGTCCCACTGTGCTGTGCTCCATATCCAACCCAGTCCCATTACCAAATGTGACAAAGTAGGCAAAGTCAGGAAACAGCTGGTGAACATGGAGGCGTATTAATTAAGCAGCAAAGAGACCGATATTTCATTCAGACGAAAGGAAAAACCAAAGGAGCTGAAAGGAAAAATAATATTTGGCTCACATTCATCGACTGGCTAAAAATCAGAAACTCCAGATGTTTGCTAATCTCTGTCTCTGTCTGCTTGATTAGTTAAAAGGCAACTGTTGGAAGAAAAAGTGTTTTTTTACCGCAGTGATTGCTGCTCCTTCTGCTGGTTTATCATTCAGATGTATTTAAATAATGTGACAAGAAATAAACAGTATTTTATTTATTGGCGTTACGCTAAAGTAATTAATGGTCTATCACTACCAAAAAAGGATATTACTTATCTATGGAATTACTTCACCATTTTCTGTCTTGAAATATACATTAAACCTACGTTTGCTCAAACGTGTGTGATGAATTTCTTATATTTTAAAGAGGTTATTACAAATGATTTGGGGCCTGGGGCATAGTGTAGCAGCACAGCAGAGTGTTTAAATGGATCAGGTCTTGATGGGACCTCTAGAAAATGTTATAGTGGGCTGTTGTAGGGATGCCTCATTCTTTTATAGCCATGGCTTTTAAAAGATCCACATATAAGGACCAATCAGGTAGAGCATATTGCAAACAATGTTGCTGCCACTACATTTAAATGGTGGGAGAAGTACTCAATAATAATAATAATAGATTACATTGATGATGATGATTGTCGTACCAACACACAAAATCAAGTCATCATTAAGTACTCTGATGATACTGCAATAATATCTCTGCTCAGTAACACAGACGACCCTGAGCTGCACCAACAGGCTGTAAATCAGGTGGTTGAGTGGACTGATAACAATGCTCTTGAGATCAACACCAAGAAAACTGAGGAAATCATTTTTGGCTCACCATCTGACTCCCATAAAGTCCCCATTGTCATCCATACAGATGAAATCAAGCAGGGAGTTTCATACAAATACTTGGGTGTAATGATTGACCATCTGCTGTCATGGAAGGATCACCTTCAATATCTGTGCAAAAGGACAAAACAAAGAATTTATTTTCTCCGCCGTCTTAGGTCTTTTGGGGCGAGCAGAGAAATTCTTCTGTTGTTCTTTACATCTGTGATCATGTCTATTCTGCAGTACTGCAATACTACCTGGTACAAATGTTTGTCAGCAGCTTTAAAATCAAAACTGCTCCACCTGTTAAAAATCTGCTCAAAGATTGTTGGTCAACCCTGTCAGAGACTCTATGACTCAGCCTATCATAACAACCCAGTGAGGTTGTCCAACAACATCATCTCTGACCCAAACCATGTTCTGAACAGTGAATATGAACTGCTACCATCTAATACAGAGATACAGGGTCCCACGTTTCAATAAAGTCAGACTGAAGCACTCCTTCGTGCATCAGTCAATCTTCACAGTAAACACAGAGCTAAATCCCAGATCAAATGCACGCTGAAGGCTCTTTGAGCAGCTTTTCTCTCACTGATTGTGCTGTTAATGTTTGTTGTTTGTGTTTCATGTATTGTGTCTGGATACTTGTCTGTTGATGTTGGACATGGAGCTGCTGTGACGCAAGTCAAATTTCAGACTTGATCTGACAAATAAAGTAATATCGTATCGTATCGCCTTTCAAGGGACCCAAGGCCGCTTTACTTGGTGAACAAACAAACAAACAAACAAGAGGGGCATTTAATAAATTAAAAATGTAATAAAATAGTAGTGGGAGTAAAGCAGGGGGACTGTGATGGGTTAGGCTACTCAGATCTTGTACTTAAGTTAAGTAGAAGTACCAGAGTGTAGAAATACTCTGGAATGCAGGAAGTAAAAGTCCTGCATTCAAAATGTTACTCAACTAAAAGTACAAAAGTATTAGCATCTAAATATTCTTAAAGTACTCATAGTAAAAGTAGTCAATGTGC